ACACACACACACACACACACACAGAAAGAAGTGATGAAACAGAGTGCAAAAACTGGGTTACAGAAATAAAAATCACATTCATTTTATCCATAGAGGAATTGATTTTTAACAATAATATTTTAAACTTTAAAAGGCAGACCTACTGTGAGTTACAATATTGTTGAATGTAGGATACATGCTTTTGTTGAAGCTACCAGTCTGCATTATATCAACTTATTTTTAAACAAGCATGTTTAACAGCAGAATTCCTGGTGAAAAACTACATTACCCATGATTCTGCAAGAAATCTCCACCAATCAGAGAATCGAAACACCAAATTACACCAAAAGAACACTTTATTTTGAAATAATTGTTAAATGTTTTTTCTATATACACAATTGACATCTTTAAATCAATATTTTTATATTCATCTGTTGTTTTAATTAAAATCATTAAGCAGACAGTCTTGTCTTTTTGTCCAATTTTCAAATATTTTGGCATCAAATCAATGTTTGTAAAGTTGTAATTCTCCTTGCAGCTGGTTGGCTTATAATGCTTTAACAGAGAACTATGGGGAAATATGAATTGGAAAAATACTTCAGAACCTAGGTTGCTAAAAAGTAGGTGGGAACTGTTGCCCTCCATTACACGCCCCTTTGGAATACTTGATTCTGATCAAACAAAGCATTCAGCAGTAAAATATGTGGAATAATAACCCGCTGCCCATGACAACAATGTATAACCAACCGCTTGTTCAGGAAACCCTGATAAGTAACTTTGAATAATAATTTCAACTTAAATTCATATTTTGGGTCCATATATTATTTACTCATGAAGTAGTTGTGTAATAAACAGGATTATGTAAAATCATGATGAAAAGATAATGTTCTAACTTGTTTTACATCATGTCACGTGAGAATTACAAAGCTATCAGCCAAAAGTCTTTAAGTGGATTAATCCTGCTAAAATCAACAAAGCTTGCTATAATTCAATTTTGATCACAGTTGCAAGGACTGTTGTGGTAAGTGAACAGTACCTAGGCTTAATTATAGTAACACGGCATGACAATGTAGTCCAGCCAGTCTTATCAGGAAGCACTGCAAAAACATTTAAAAAACAGGCAAGAGTTTAAGAGAACAGTAACTGTCTGTTTGGTTATTGGGACAAGTTCCTCTTACTGATGTAATTTACCGAAAAACAACCAGCACAGGAATTCTCATGCCTTATGGACTGCATAGTTTGCATATCACTCTGTAAGACAGACTTAATTACACTAGGCAGGATATTTGCTTACCCTAAAAAGACATACACGAGAAGTGAACTGACTTTTTGCTGTAATTCATTTTATTCTGGACTACCCTTACTGATAATAATAACTTGTATGGGAAATTTGACTTCATTGCTGCCATGACTCTAGCTGATATGCTGATACAAAATGGACCTAGTTCCTTTTATAATATGGAAAATTGAAGTATACAACGCAATTATCTCAAACAAATTTTTGTTTATGCTGTGAAGTGGTTATTTCAGAGCTCTGCCAAACCAATTTGTACGCTTTGGGCTAGCATGATGATAATACAGCGGTATAGCAGGAAAAGCAGCGCGAATTTCACAAAATTTGAAATACAGTGTCATTCATAATTACACACCACAAATGTCGATCATGCTAACTAAAATGGTAACAAACGAAATGAACAATCTGATTACATCGAGTCAATTTACAGAACATCACTGGTTCATTTCTTGTCATATTAGCATTGGTTTATCAAAATAAATGTGCGCTATCGATCATGTTGCTTACCTTGCTGTGCAATCCTATAAAAGTACGCCTTGTATTACAGTCAACCGATAAATCGGTGAGGATCTACCGGTGTAGTTAAAAATTCCGCACCATATAATGACTTTAGTTTCAGTCATACAGGAAATAGTGTGATGTTGTTTTGGAAAGGGAATTCTGGGATATGTAGTAGAATCCGGAACTGCGTCCGGCCTATTCACTGTTCGACTGTAATTCATTCAAAATATACAGTTATACACCATCCAGTAAATAGCCCTAAAAGTCAAAATTGTTTTAATTTCGTCGAATTAGAAAGAAAATAAAACTAAGTGGAATCTACAAACAAATGATGCTAGAGCTTCTCTCAGAACAAACTTAAGTTTTCAGAGTCATTTTTGACATTTAAACAACCAGAGTGAAGGTCATTTTAGTTGATGTGTGAAGTCAGTTTAGTTTTTGAGTCACTGTATTCTTGTATCAAACATTACTTGATAACATTATGTTAACTCATGTCCTTTTATAATGTTAATTATCAAGTTACAGTGGATATAGAAAATAACCCCCCAACCACCACCACCACCTTCAAGGTGTTTTGGCAAAGCTCAGTTGTGACTGCATGTGGCCTTTCTTGCGGAGTGGCTTTTTTCCTTGCAACCCTCCCATACAAGCCACATTTGTGGAGAATTCTGTGATATTGTTGTCACATGCACACAATGACCACTCTTTGTCATAAATTCCTGCAGCTGCTTCAGAGTTGCTGTAGGCTTCTTGATTGTGGTAGCTTCTCTGATTTCCTCCTGGCTCTTTCATCCGGTTTGGAGTGACGTCCTGATCCAGGGAGGGTCTGTGTTGTACTAAATACCTTCCACTTCTTCTTCACTGTGCTCACTGGCATTGATATTTTGACAGTGCCTTGCCACCCATAGTTGATTGTTTGCTTCAGTTGCACTACCACACACTGAAATGCTCCAGGAAAGCTCTTTTCATGCTGAGCTAATCAAAATGACCACATCTGATCACAGTTGAAAGTCAAAAGGCTTTGTGTGCCACCGAGAAAGTGATTAGCTACACCTGATTGAGTTTACAACTCATTTTTAGGAGGGGGTGATCCTTTTTTTCTGACATGTTGGTGTTATGTCTTTCACTTGGATGTTATAAGTTGCACTAAGTAAATACAGCTGGATAAAACAAAAACTGTGTCCATCTTCATTTCAGGCTGCAAAGCAACGAAATTTTATTATTTAAAAGGTGGATGATTCTTTTCTATACCCACTGTATATAGCCAGGTCTTTATTTTAAATAAAACAATGCTTTAATTAAAAGATGTACTCAACTACAGCTATTTTGCTGAAATCTTTCTCTATGCACAACATCCTTGATTTATTGTCTTAAAAATGTATATATTGTCACATTAATTTGCTCAACAGCGGTGGTCGTGAGGTAAACAATTTTATTGAAATCAAATTCAAATTCTAGAAGTTTCTTTAACACTTGAAATTAACTGTAAGCATCCACACTGTAAATCATCTTAAAGGCTCAATAAAATAATAAGACGAACAGAACATTAACCGTCAAACAAAAAATTAAGTGCTACATTAGTCCACCCTGGATCAGCACAACTTGTAATTTGCCCAAAATGTGGCATATTAAAAATGATGCTTCAATAATATGTGAGGCACATTTCCCACTGTAAATCAACAAGAACTATTATATTTAACAGTACCTGCACTCATTTCATGTGCTCTTTGTCAGTGTAATATCATTTATTTAGAAGCTGTTTATTTAAGCCTACTGTATTATGGTTAATGTATATTGTGCATGTAATGCAGAGCAACGTATTCAGCAGTCAGACGTCATCTTCGCAGTCAGAGCTGATTGGCAGGTGCTGGGTGGGTCGAACACCCCAGGGTCACTGATGCCCAGCTGAAGGTCAAAGAAGCGAGTGGACGTGGTCACGCTACTGTTTTTGGTGTATGTCTCCTGCACGGGATAGCAGTCCTTCAAAGTGTACACACCAACCCAAGCTTCATCTGTGAAAGACAGAAAAAATGTGCAAAGTTCTGACCATGCAAATCAGGACCACATTACAGGTCCTGTATAAACATACTTATAATAAGCATACTTTTGCGAGCTGGTTTCCGATCAGACCATTCTTGGACCTCGATCATGTCTCCAGGTCCTCCAATGAAATACTGGTCCTCATAAGTGGAGTTCAGGGGAATATCATAAGGGTCCCAGGCCTCCGTCAGAGCGATCTTTGCACACTGCTTAGTAATTTCTTCAATTTGGAAAAGCACTCCACTCTTGAACAAGTAGATGTACTCAAAGAACCTCAAAGACAATTGCACAATGCAAATACTTTTAATGCAAGCAATTTTTGCATGCTTTTTTAATACAATTCAGTCAGTTATAGTGATTCAGTTGTGTGTGGCCATTCTAATGTTGACAATAATAAATCATTTGCATCTACACAATGGTGAACAATAGCTCAAGATGTCAAGCAGATTTAGCACTGGCCTATAAACATAAAATAAAATTTACTTACACTACTACTTCTACTACTACTGATAATAATAATAATAATTTCCTACTCAGTCTTTCTAGTTTTCCTATACAAATATCTAAACATGAAATCAGGATACATTTACCTGAGAAGTAAAATGACTTGACTTGTTTTCAGAATCAAAACTGAAAGACTTTAAGCTTAAAAACAAGACAAAATATCTGTGGAGTAAGAAAAAAAATGTTTTCTCTTTGAATTAAGTTTATTTTTAAATATAGTTGGTGTAATAATGATTATGATGACAATTTTGTTTGAATTGCTCTGTTAAAGCATTATAAGCCAACCAGCTGCGAGGAGAAATACAACTTTACAAACTTTGATTTGATGCCAAAATATTTGAAAATTGGACAAAATACAAGACTGTCTGCTTAATGATTTTAATTAAAACAACAGATGAATATAAAAATATTGATTTAAAGATGTCAATTGTGTATATAGAAAAAACATTTAACAATTATTTCAAAATAAAGTTTTCTTTTGGTGTAATTTGGTGTTTCGATTCTCTGATTGGTAGAGATTTCTTGCAGAATCATGGGTAATGTAGTTTTTCACCAGGAATTCTGCTGTTAAACATGCTTATTTAAAAATAAGTTGATATAATGCAGACTGGTAGCTTCAACAAAATTGAAAAAAAAAAAAAGGATAATTTTGATATATTTTTTTAGGAAACAAAGACTTTATAAATTCTAGTTTTGATTCTCAACTAAATTTAAATAAAAACATTTTTTAGATATGTAGAAAACAACATAAAAATAGCACAGAGTTAAAAAAAATTTGTATTAAAATCTATTTCATAACATTTGATGAATTCTTACTTTTTACATGGTGTGTGTCCAGTCTTCTGCTCCAGGACCCTAATTCGCTGATTCTGTGCATCATAGGAGACCGCCGCCCGTGTGTTTCGTCCCGTCCCGTGATCATATTCAACGGTCCGACCCTCCCACTGTAACGGCGCGACACAGGGCTGCGGCGCTGCCGCTCCGGACGGAGGAAAGCCCAGACAAGGCACCGTCGCGGACAACGAGAATGCTAGAGCAAAAACGACAAAGCCTGACATGTCTGTTGGTGCAAAGCTATAATCACATGAGATTTAATTTTTCACACAGCTATTCAAAGGCCTGTGAGTGGAGTAGAGGATTTTCCAGAAAGCGTCTGCGCTGGTGCCTAATCCAAATGCCAAAATGCACCAGCAGCATCCATGTCACAAACACGTCAGAAACACCGATTGGTCAGATATATCCAACCCTATGACAAATCCATATAAATATTTTCCATTATCTGAAAAAATATTAAGATCACGTTTTATTACTAAAATGTATTCCTAATAACATTATATAATTGTTTAATAATTATAATATTTAAAAACGTATTATTTGCATTAAATTTGTTTCTGTCGTAACGAACCATAAGATTTCACCATAATAACAATGAGCATTTTGAATTATCAATATAATAATAATAAATGTATTATTAATGTATATTATTAATGTATATAATATTCGCCTGTTTAATGTATTATTTACATTTTTGTTGTAAGGAACCATACAATTTCACCACAATAATGGCACACAATTTGAACGATCAGTATCGTAAGTTTATATGGAGGTAACAACAATAAATGTTATTAGTGTTTTCTCTTTTTGTTCTTCATTTAGAAATTATGAACAATAAGTACATCTGTGCATTGAAAGAATGTGCTGCATATAGATCATATGACAAACAGACATCTTTATATTTTCAGTATGTGCTGTTATTATAAACTACGCCATTTGCATCAGTTTGTTTACGAGCAGATCTTGCTGAGACATCCGGACCACCAGATGGCAGCATCTATTGCTGCCAATACTTTTGATTTAGTCTGCCTGTCTTTAATGTACGCTTAGTGTTGTTGGTTTTTTAATATGGCGAGTCCCGTCCAGCGTGTGTACTAAAATCAGGTTGAATACGTTTAAAGAGACTGACAAAATGTCTGAACTGACACAGACTCAGTTTGAATCCAGTGATGATGAACTCCCAGAGGAGGTCGCCTTTGATGCGTCCAAAAGTGCCGCTCTGAAGAGCGTTAAAGATGCACTGGATGCAGCCAAAAGGTCTGTGAGTGAGTCCACTGGCTTCAGACACAGAGCACATGCGGTGTAAACATTTTTGTTTTTCACGTTGTTTTCAGAGAAAAGAACCTGTTGAAGGAGAAGCGAAGAAAGAGACAACAGCTGTTTCAAGAACAAAAGGTACAGGGTGGTGAATACTCTCCTCAGGATGTCTACTATATTATTATTATCAACAAAAGTGTATGCACTTTAACGTAATTCACAATAAATTGTATATTTAGCATTAGGCAAAATATCGTGAAATGTTATATCTCTTGTTTTTCAGAAGAGAAAACTTCTTCCTCAAGAGCTCTTGGAGGAATTTGATACAGAACCCCAAAAGTAAGTTCCCCAGCTGAATAGAAACAATTCGATTCCTTAAATCATTTTGGAAACATAGATTGTTATTCCTTCATTTTAGACAGACAGATCCATCAGACAATAAAGGTATTAACAAGAAGGTATCACCAAAGCCATCACACAACAATAAAGGTAAAAAAAATCTCTAACAGTGTAATTTTCTCTAACTTTAGACATTTTTTCTCTGTTGGTCAAAGTATTGAATGACAAACAACTATTTTATA